AAAAAAAAAAAAAAAAAAACTCTTTGGGTGCCAAGATAACTGGTTCTGCTTTTAATTCATGCATTCATGACCTTGGGCACATTTTTTCCTTAGAATTTTATATTTACCCTTCTTTACAGTAGGAATAATAATTTTTTGCCCATCCCAACTCTGCCAGGACAGGTTCCATAGAGATGTTGTGATAATTATTCAGAAAATATATAAAGGGTAGCCCTGGAGAATTAATTATATAAACACTAGTTTATACAATGGAGATCTGTAATTATGAGTATTTGAGAAGGGCTGAAGAGAAAAGTCATTGCCCTAGTACTGTAAAGGCAGTGATTGTAAACTGCAGTGGAATTGTCCATTGTGTATTAATTGCCATGCCAATTTATCAAAGGCACATACAGCATACTGTCTGCCTTCCTCTGCTATGGCTCTTCAGTGATATGGAATAGAGTCTTCCCTATTTTCATACACAATAGAACCTCCATAGTTGGCCAGCTCCCTCTATTGACCACCTCTGTACGTTGACCTAATTTTTAAAGACCAGACCTGCTTCACATGTGTCTATCAGTATAGTAAGCCTGGTTCCTTATTTTGACCACCTCCTTATGTTCACCAGTTTGTTACAGTCCCATAGGTGGTCATCTTACAGAGATTCTACTGTAGTTATACAGAAGGCAAAGACTAACACTCAAGGGCTAGAGCAATTTTTTTATTATTTTTCCAAATATTTTTATGTTGTGTGTGCTTGATACTTGGTTTCATTATGAATCTTCAAATTTGAATCACATGTATTGTCCTGTATTACATATGTATGCAAATAAAACTCAAAACATTTCCATCTCCTCTAATATAAATATGGCTGCAGGAGGGAAAAGGCAGGCAGACAAAAATAACACATTTTGTCTGAAGATTGTTAAAGGGAAGCTTTTCGCGCCTCCGAATAGAAACATCTTTAAAGCCCCACGCTCATTCTATGGTTAAAACAATCACTGTGTAAAGGCTACGCAGTCTGTAAAGTTCTTTCTCATCTTCTCTTTACGGTTCCCATCATAACCCTGTACGGTAGGATGGACCGTCATCCCCCCTGTATCCACTGCTCTGTGAGCATCTCAAACACAGGGGCTGTTTCTTGTTACTTTCCCTCCCTCTAATATCTAACTCACATGACTATGTAAGTAGTTTATATAGTTTTCTTGTGAGAAAACAGAAGCAGAGCTGTGAAAGGGCCTGTAGCTTCCTCAGACATATAGGAGGAATTAAGTCTTGATTTTTCTGGCACTCATTATAGACTACGTCATTAGTTCTGTATTAAAAGAAAATGTCAGCAAAGGCAGTTAAGAATATTACCTGTAGTATATAATACGACAAACTAATTCTAGTAAATTTTCAAATTGAAGGTTATGCTGAATGCAAAACTCTGGTGGTTGTTCTGTTTTTCCATTTCTCCCAGAAGACTTGGGGAAAGTCAGGAGAGCTGTTATTTGGGCTTCTGAGTCCTCCTGTCTAGAAAGGAGGTTAGCATTCCAGGAGTTTCTCTCAAAGCACATGAACACTTCTACAGAGAAAGCATGTCTCCAAGTAGGCGCCTCTGCGTGACAGGGACGGGCTGCCAGGCGCCCTGTTTGATAGGCTGTGGGGAGCCCAAATGGATGCTCAGCCGCCCTTGGAGGTTAGCATTAGCTTCTGTTTGGGTCTTGACTCTGTTCTTTTCCTTTACTTTTTTTTTAATTATAGCACTTTATTTTTTTTTATCATTTACTATTGGAACACACATTTTGGTTACATAATTTGCTTTCCCACAGATTGAGTCAAAGTTCTAAGTGTGCCCTTCACCTAGATAGCAGGCAGTGTACACTGGAGGTGGGAATTCAGCCCTCCCGTCCATCCCTCTCTCACCTGTGTGATTCCCACTGAGTTTTACCTTCTTGTGTGCACATAAAGTGTGGATCAGTTAGTTCCAATTTAGTATGGAGTACATGTGGTGTTTGTCTTTCCATTCTTGTGATATATTTCACTTAGAAGAAAGGTCTCCACTTCTATTCAGGCTTTTACAAAAGATACCAAATCCCCATTTTTTAAATGGCTGAGTATTCCACGGTATACATGCATACATATGCCACATTTTATTAATCCATTCAAGTATTAGTGGGCACCTGGGCTATTTCCACATCTTTGCGAATGTGAATTGCACAGCTATAAACATTTGAGTAGTTTTCAAACTTACTTGAGTGAAGGGGGAAGAGGGCAGAGGAAACAACAGAGAAAAAAGGGACAGGCGATTCTCTTCTCCTCTTACAAGGAAATACTTGAGAAAGATACTAAACTTTGTACTCTTCATATTCAGGGAAACAAATGATGTAATGATAGCCTTGCAATCCATTCCTCTGTGTTCAGGAAATATTATCCTCAGATGGACACACAGTTACCTCTTATCATTAATATTGGAGGACTGTTTTGCAAGTGTATAGTTTAGAGGGCAGGTTTTCCTCTGAGACCTCTTGAACATGACAAGTCCCTCTCTCCAGTGTCCCTTGCTCACTATCATTCCCATGTTTGTGTTCCTAGGACCTCGATGCAGTCTCAGTCTTCATACGGTAACAGCTCCCCACCTCTGAACAAAATGAACAGCATGAACAAGCTGCCTTCTGTGAGCCAGCTTATCAACCCTCAGCAGCGCAACGCCCTCACTCCCACCACCATTCCTGATGGCATGGGAGCCAACAGTAAGAGCGTCTCTCTTCAGCTGTGGCTAAAGGATGAACAGGGCTAGTGTAGGAGAAGAATGTGCTCGGGGATGGGGCTTGTTCTCAGGCTACATGAAAGGCACAGTGGGACAGATCAGATCAAAGTTGAATGGCTTGGGTTTCTGATGGTGAACTGCTCATTTTGGAGGTGTGTGGTTCCCTACAAAATACATTGGTAGACATGCAGAAGGATGTTTCTTCTGTAGGGATAGGAATCTCTATAAAAGAAACAGTCCACTCTTGCCAGCTGGATGGAGACCCACCTCTTGTAACCTTCGAAATAGTCACAAGGAAATGTATTGAACATGTAGAAAGTGGCAAGTTGGGGTGAACTTGAAATCTAGAGAAATAGATTGTAGTCTGGACTCTATTGAAAAACTATCTGTTTAATTATGGACAACTTCTCTGCTCTAGTTCTCAATTTTCTAACTATAAAATTATCAGTGTTTTTAACATTTTGAATCTGTATCCCTAAAATCTTGGCCTTTTCAAATCATCTGCTCCATCCCACACACAGCAGGGAACTTAACCTCCAAAGGAGCCTGCCTTTTACCTATCCACACACAAATTCCTATCAGCTAAGTGTCAATGTAGTAGACACTGTGAGAATTGGGCCTTCAAATGAACAATGATGGCATATATCTTTGCCATAAATAAATGTAATTATCTTGTCCAATATAACTAAATCTAGCAGAGTAGATACATAAACCTGAAAGAAAATAAAGGGCAGTAAAAATGCAAAAAGATGTATACAAAATATCCTCAGGGATCATTCCAACACAGGATAGGTATTTTATAAACCCCGCCCCACAAAATAAGTAACCTCAGTCTTGTCTTTTGAAATTAATTCCTAATTATTTTGATCAAGCCTTTGAACTTGTATTTCATTGTTGTCTTGAAAAGACTGGATTTTCTTAAAGAAGTTAAGGGAGGCTGGAATTGCAACTCTCCATGGTTTGATGATACGAATTTATATTTTAATGAGATAGAGGTGTATGTGATACGGTTACCTGGTAGGGCAACACAGACTTTAGAGCCTGTGTCTCTCACTAGTGGTAAATGTATCCTAAGGCTTAAAATTCGACCCTTTAATAGGTCTGCTACCTTGACAGTAAAAAGAATAGAAACCATTATTTTTCTATTAAACACTTATTTTTCTCATGACATCTTAGGGTCCTCAATTTGTTTCTTGGGATGACAAAATATTGATCATAGTTTACATTAGTATAACTTACAATCTGGCTACATTTTTAAATTTTTAATTTACAATTCTATTTCGATATACTCAGGAAAGTCAAAAGGGAAACAGATCAATATGTAATGGGGTCTGTTCTTTTGTTAGCTGCTTGGTGGCAGAGGACAGATTATATTCATATTTTTAGTTATATCATTTTCTTGTTCTGAAGGCAAAACTTGATTCACAAATATGGACATTAAGCTTTTCTTCCCTATCCATGAATGTTAACAGTTTATTGTTTAGTAAAATAACATTTGAATGTTGGTGGTATTCCTATATGCCGCACTGAAATGGACCATAAGAAAGAGTTAGAACCTTGAACTGTACCTTCTGTATCTTCCTTTGTTAGGCATATGATTCACAGATATTGCAATAAGTTTTCCTAGTCCCAAATAAGTGGTCACCCTCACACTCACAGGTTTATTCATTTGTCCACTTAACCCAAGATTACTGAGCAGCTACTCTGTGCCAGGCACTGTGCTAGGGTCTGTGGTCTCTGCACACGTCTGAAATAGAGACTGTGTTTGAGGAAATTAGATGAGTAAAAGAGACAGAAATATAACCCATGAAGGCAAATACAAGGGGGAATATGTTAACAATAGGAGCAATGAATAGTTGGACAGAGAAATGGAAGCAGAGATGGGGAGGAAAGAAATCGCCCTAGGAGAAGGCACAAAGATCCAGAAATACATAATTAGTTTGGAATCTGGTGACTATTCTGTTTGACACGATGTAGGCTGCTTGAAGGCATGTACTGAGAGAGAAGACTAAAAGAAAACTAAAAAGCAGGTAGGTAGTTTAGGTCTAGGCAAGATGGACCACTGGAGTGCTGGTACATGATGATGACAGTAACCCTCTCTGTTCCTCCTGCTTCTGTTCAGTTCCTATGATGGGCACCCACATGCCAATGGCTGGAGACATGAATGGACTCAGCCCTACCCAGGCCCTCCCTCCCCCACTCTCCATGCCATCCACCTCCCACTGCACCCCCCCACCTCCGTACCCCACAGATTGCAGCATTGTCAGGTGAGTCCACAGCATGTGCTCATATCCTAAGCACCTCTGGGTGGTGGAGGGTGGAGACGTGTCAAAGTCAGTCAACCAGTTGAAAGAAAGGACCCAGTCCTCTGGTCGGAGCTCAGCCACTCTCCTCTCTGGTCTGTGCAGGGGTAGCCTTGTTGACACAATACTGCTCTAACCCACACGGGAACAAGTGAAGATGTGCGTTTGTAGGCATGCAGTTCTCGTGCCATGCCTGCTTCCTTCACCTGCACTTACTCCCTTCCTCCTCCTTCAGAATTTTACATTGTCAGTCATGGCCCTCAGATTGGTGCTCAGGGCTGGGTTTCCCAAAAGGGCAGTAACTTGCTATCTTGCTCCCTTTCCTGCTCTCTAGCCCTCATAGCTCTCGGCCACAGGGGACTGTTAGTTTAGAGTTGGATGTCCATTACAAAAGGTTAACCTTGGCACAAATGACAGGAACTTTCATGAACCTGATGGCCTGTCCTGCTCTGCGTGTAGGAAGGGGGTAAACTGCCGGCAGAAGGAAGAATGAGTAGAGCCTGAAAGAGGCAAGAGCAGCTCCCAAATTCCACACCTAGGGCACATCTTATGCTCCTGCTTCCTGTGCAGAATGGTTCTTTCATTTGGCCGCTTGAGTGATTGTGTTGGTCCCCAGCCAGTCTCAATCACAGAATGGCAAATTGCATGGCTAATCCCACTCAGGTCTGGGCCTCTGGCAGTGGTGGCATCCTCAGTCTCAGATCAAAACCAGAAAGAAAGGTATGTGTATTCTGGGGAGGACATGAATCAGAAGTCATTAATGACTTCATAGAATAGTGGTCTACAATTTTTTTAACCACCTAAACCATTCTCAGAGACCCCAAACACAAAACTAAGTAGAAATTCTCTTTTTAAAGTGAAGAGCCAGGTGGCCAGAGAGCTGGAAAGCAAAACACTGGACTTTTTCCTTTCACTTTGCAATGGCTCAAAGGCCCTGACCCAGGGCCCTAGAAGTCCACAGATCATCATCTGATGATTGCTAGCCTGCCAAGACCCTTATGATTGATTTTAATTTCTATAGACCTAAATTTCAAGTCACCAGAATCCCCCAAACTTGAATCTCAGTCCAAGATATATTTTACCTGTCTCTAGACTCTTATGCCAGGCATCCAGGGGCAAAATGTTGGGTTTTCCTTGATCTCGCCAATGCAGTTGGGGTGAACTTTCTTTTTCTGTTTCCTCCTTCCTCCTCCCTCCTCCCTCTGCAGTTTCTTAGCGAGGTTGGGCTGTTCATCATGTCTGGACTATTTCACGACCCAGGGGCTGACCACCATCTATCAGATTGAGCATTACTCCATGGATGTAAGTAATTGTTAGACTTTTCTCTTGAGTTTTATTTCTTCATTTCCTCCCTCTGGTGACAACTGACTTGTAGTTCAATTCCTGCTAGTTTTAAAATTTGTTTTTTGTCTTGTCCCCATTCTTCAATTTTTGTGGAACCCATAACCATGTTGGAAAGATTCCCAGGCCTATACATAATATAAATGTAGCAACGAGTCTTTTTCAGCTTGTCCGAGTAATCAGTAACTGTCTATTTCACCTATACTATTTGCAAGTGGAAGAGAGGAGATATAATTCCCACCATCAAGAAATTTATAATTCATAGAAATTTTTAGATATTCTTAATCTGCATAAGTCCCCTAGGAAGAAAGCAGGAAGCAGGTGGTATTGTTCTCACTTAAAAACATGGAGAGATGGCTTGGTGCCTGTGTCTCAGTGGTTAGGGTGCCAGTCACATACACCAGGACTGGCCAGTTCAACCTGGCCCGGGCCTGCTGAACAACAATGACAACTACAACAAAGAAATAGACCACATTGCAGCAGGCACCTGTAGACCCAGCTACTTGGGAGGCTAAGGCAAGAGACTTGCTTAAGCCCAAGAGTTTGAGGTTGCAGTGAGCTATGATGCCATAGCACTCTACTGAGGGCAACATAGTGAGACTCTGTCTCAAAAAAAAAAAAAAAAAAATGGAGAGGGGACAAAATAGTTTTGTGCCATGAAAAAAACACAGGAGTAGAACCGTTGGGCCTATAACTCTATTAACTAGCTTCTTCTGCCGTCTCTTCTTAAAGTAGGACTTTAAGGGGGATTCAACTGTCCCTCTCAATTAACACTGTATGCTCCTTCATTCATTTTTAATTCTATCAGAATAGGGTCTAGCCATCTCTGATCATTGGGCCGTGGGTTCAAGTCTCAGTCATGCTTTTTAGTAGTAGCAAAGAGACCTTAGACTTACCACTTTTCCTCCCTGGGCCTCATCTAATCAAATTGGGTTGAAAATTATCACCTTTTGGCTTTGTTATGATTTGATTTGAAACAGGCTGAATGAGAGGGAACCTGCTATTGCTTTCTATGCCTTTTTGAACTACTGCTCACGTGGGAGCTGGCATCGCTCTGGTTTATATAACCTGATTTGTCTCCCACGCTGCTTGCTCTCCCCACTGCTCCCCTTGGGCTTCACTATGCTTGCTTCTATCTTCTGGGGGGCACTTTGGACTGGTGGAAGAAGGTAGTTTCTTCCTCTGCTGCTGCTTTTATAGTTGGGACCTCTTTTTTCCTCCCTTCCTTGAGCACCGATGCTAGAGAAACCCTGGCAGCCTGATAACACCACAGCCCTGGGGGGACACACGCGTCCCTTAGTGCCCTTATGCCCACTCCCTGCATCCCATAAACACCCTTGGCTGCTGCTCCCTCATAGAATAAATTATAAGCAAAAACTGTAGAGAACGATTTAAGATTTAAATAACTTTTCAATCACTTGCATGCCATGGAGAGGACCGACCTGTGTTTGAGAGAGCCTCTTGTAATTAGTAGAGTCCTGCATTATGGAACAAGGACTATGCCCCTTCTCTGTATTTTTAAAGTCATACTTTCTACTTTGTCCCTACTGGAGAGAGTGTCGGAACGTGCCTTTGATTACTAGGATCTGCAGATTCCCTCTGTAAGTCCGTTTCTGCTGGTGTTGATTAGACCTTGTGTCTCCGTCTGGGCCAGAACTTTCTCACCTGTCCATCATCAGTTCAGATCGATCCAGAGTTAGGAAGATGAGTAGGGCCTGGCTTACAAAGAGCTCTGGACTTACTGAGAGTCTCCAAAGTAAAGCATCCAGGAAGCACATAAAGCTATACTGACTTATCCATTTGTGGATTATTTCTTTATGATGTGTTCTGCTGCTGCAACAAGAAACGGGAAAACTTAACACCATGGAAAGTTTACACCAGGGAAAAATGCAACACCATACTATAAATTTCTGAACTGGGCAATGTTGGGAAGCGACATAATTTTCTCATCCTCCATTCAGTCTTCTCCTGCCCGTTTCTGGAAAGAGCCAGCCCTTTGCCAGATTATCTTTTAGCAGTAGTCTAAGGGACTTGGCATCACTTCTTGGAAGAGGAATATGCTTAAGTTGGGGGGTTAGTGTCCCCTATAAGCTGCAAAGATAAGTAAAACACAAATGGTCAACATTCGTATCATGTGTTTCATAATTTATCAAATGCTTTCCTTGCCACATTAACAAAAGAGTCTACAATAAGTAGATTGGAACTGAGGACACTAGAGAAGTGACGCACAGGCAGTGAGAGAAGGAGAGCCTCTGCCCAGGTTTCTGGCACCCAGCACTGTGTGCTTTCCTCCCACCATTCTCCATGAAAAACGTGAGCTGTCACAGAGGAGGAGCTGATGCCCCAAAAATGTAAGAAATGCTACCAGTGAGTCAAGACTGGCCCCATTCGGAATGCCTTCTACCACCATCCATCCAACAGAGACGACTGCTCTGCGCTTTATTGTATTTCAATAGATTTAGGGGGTAAACTTTGTATTTCATTATGTGGCTAAATTGTACTAAGTATCATAGTAAAGTCTGGGGTTTTAGTGTACCCCTCTCCCAAATAGGGTACATCACATCCAATCGGTCATTTTTCAGCCCTCACCTTCTCCTTTCTCTTCAGAGTCTCCTATGTCCGCCGTACCGCATTGTGGTACATACACTGTGTGTGTCCATGCCTAGCCACAGCTCAGCCCTGGTTAGGAGAACATGCTGCATTTGATCTCCCATCCCTGAGTTACTTCACTCAGGGTAATGACTTCCAGTTCTATCCAAGTTGCTGCAAAAGTCATTATTTTATTTTTTATGGCTGAGTACTACTCCATGGTGTATATAAATGCCATGTTCTCTTTGTCCACTCCTCAGTTGATGGGCACTTGGATTGATTCCTGTTCTGCCCTTTGAAACGTTGATGTATTGACACATTAAGAGACCTTCTGGCTAAAAGGACGGTTTTAAGCTCAGAGGATACCCTTAGTCTCTAATTATTGCACTGAATTATGTGAATTTGATTGGTCAACCTCTCTGGACTTCAGTTTTCTACTGATAAAGATATATATAATAATATTTCATACTAACCTGACGTTTAAATGATTTCATGACTATAAAATAACTAGTTCAGTGTCTGGCATGTGGAAAGGGCTTGGTCCCTGTTAGTAACCTTTTCTTCTTAGCTTTTCACTCAAGTGGTGGCGACATTCCATTAATGCCTTTTTGCTAGTGACTAGAGGCAGGTAGATCTAAGCGCCCGATGTATGTCGTGTTTCTGTTGGGGAATTTTTTCCCTCTCCTCTAAGAACTAGCCGCATTTCACCAATGAAGAAACTTTGAGGCCAGCAGAGAGTAAGTGAAAGGTTATCCTCAGGCAGAGATGTCACTGGCACTCAAGTCTGTGTCTTTGTCTTCAGTGCCGTTTGTAAGCACAGAGAGGTAATTTTATTTTCTAATGAATGGATTAATAAATTCAGATCAGTTAAACCAGAGCCTCAGAAAATGACTACGGAGTAAGTGCTACGAACCAAATATCCTTCTGTCTCTTGTTTTAATGCTTTCCGACCCCCTTTCCCGTTGCACAGGATCTGGCAAGTTTAAAGATCCCGGAGCAGTTCCGACACGCGATCTGGAAGGGCATCCTGGACCACCGACAGCTGCACGACTTCTCCTCCCCTCCACATCTCCTGCGGACCCCCAGTGGCGCCTCCACGGTCAGCGTGGGCTCCAGCGAGACCCGCGGGGAGCGCGTCATCGACGCCGTGCGCTTCACCCTCCGCCAGACCATCTCCTTCCCACCCCGAGACGAGTGGAACGACTTCAACTTCGACATGGATGCCCGTCGCAATAAGCAGCAGCGCATCAAGGAGGAGGGGGAGTGAGTCCGGTCCTGCGGGCTCTTTCTGTCCCCTCCCACCCTCCCACCCCACCACAAAGCGCTCCTGCTTGGTCGGCAAAGCCTCCCCTTCCTCTTCTCAGTCTGATTTCTTAAAAGGAAGGAGAAGGAAGAGGCTGCCTCCTAACTAACATCCGACCTGGCTTCTGATTCTGATTCTGGCTTTAAGCCTTCAAAACTCCTGTGTGCAGGACTGAAGTTGCCCGGGCTAGGGAGAAGTGAGCAAAAAAGAGGTGGGTATCTCCTTAAGCTGCAGAGATTCCTCAGTGACTTTTATAAAGCATTTGCGCCCTTATAGTCTAAGACTATATATAAATATATATAAATATATATAAATATGCAGTATATATTTTGGGGTGAGGGCATTGAGTATTGTTTAAAATGTAATTTAAAGGAAAGAAAATCGAATTGCACTTACCGACTTTTTTTTTAAAAAAAATTTACTTGTTTTTGATATTGTCTGTACCCCTTTTCTCAAAGGGCATCATGTATGCTGATCGGAATCTGGAGCTTAATAATGACATGTGTGTAAGAATGATGCATAGGCCCTTTCAGTTCTTTGGGTACTGAACACATGCCGAAACAAAGGTCCAGTTTTATTTACCACTGCTTAGTATGTGGGCCAGATTGTAGTACGTACACTTTCCTCAATGTTGGTGTATTTTATGTTACTAACAGCCCTGCCGGTGAAAGTGGTTCACTTTGGGGTTATTTAGTCCAATTATAAGAGAAATTTATGTACACGTTATATACTAAAGGACATTTTGGTTGAGATTGGGAATGAACCATGTGAGTTACGGCTAAAATTCTTTAAAGGTGCATCACAGCCAACTCAAGAACACCTGGGATCACGTATCTGCGCATGTCAGGAAACCTCTTAAATTTAATACCAGACACCTTATCTTATAGTATTTGTTGAGGAAAAAAATTGCTGCCATTATCGAAGTCTTAAAACTAAATTTCTCAACCATATTAACTAACTCAAATACACATTTGCTACTCTTAACTAGAACTTGGGCTGAAAACCGTGTACATAGTTCTTGTGGTAAAGTTGGACTATCTATCAAAAATATTAAGGAAAAATAAGAATCATGCAGAAATATTAAATCCATACTAAACAGTTAGACATCTCAGCAAACCATGAATTGAAGTTCTTGAAAAGTCTTTTCAAGGATAAATAATATTATTTGGTAAATGTTTCTTTTAAAGACCTGCTTAGTCTATAAAATTCTGCATGTAGAGGCTTGTTTTCCTTTCTCTCTTCAAGCTTTAAAATAGGAACGGGAAGGATAAAATTATGAGATTAGTTTTCTTGTGCCTAAGTTGCATCACTGTATCATTTTTCTTTTTTAATCAATAAGCTTTTCACTTTGCTGGAGAGTAACTGTGAGAACCCAATTTCCCGTCCATCACCCTTAGGGATTGTGCATAGACGTAAAAACATCCCCACAGGGCAAGGAATGATCCTTTCATGGAAGCTGTTACTTAAACTACATAAACAAAGAGATGTCTTCAAACTTTGGGGAAACATGTAAATGACAATATTCCTCCTAGATATTTTTAGAAACATACTTTATATCACATATCTTTTTTCAGAATGTAAAATATATATTTTGTATACCCGCTAGTGAGCTCTGAAATCTTCCATGCATTCTGATAAAGACCCGTGCTTGCACATAAGCTTCCATTTTTATTTTAAAGTGCAAAAGGGCTACCGTGGCTCTCAAATATAATGTAATGTATGAGTTTCATCTGAAAAGTGTGTGTATATTTGTGAGTGAAATTGCATCCTTTGCATTTTGGTTACTTTTCTTTCTTCTTGGGATAGTGTGTTCTCCAGAACCACACTTGAAACCTTTTGTAATTGTTTTTATATTTTCATGGAAATATCATTTAGTAAGGATTCAATGTCAAACAAGAAATAACACTGTAATTTTAAGATGGGGAGGGAGGGAAAGTTGTTTTTTTATTGTTTTTTTTTTTTTAATTTTGTATGTTAAAGAGGGTGCGTCCTTGATTTCAAAGTTTTGTTGTGCTTACGTGGTAATAAGCACTACTGATTTCTGACAGGCATGCAGCTTTGCAGAGTCATGATGGGGAAGAATGAAAGCTGTGCCTTGGCAATATTAGGAGGGCAAATGGCTTCCTTGCTGTCCTGAGTGTTTGAATAAACCTGGGACTTCTGCGCTATTTCAGCACTATTCAGGTGGCACTAGGGGTTCAGAAATTCCTGTACTGTAGCTCATGGATTTAGCACTAGCCAAAGCTAGGCACTGGTACTGGCTTCACATCCTCATGGTAACTTACACTTGAGTGCATGAGTAGCCAGTATGAGGGATAAAAGACTACTAAGTACAGACAACTGGGAGTGGCTTTAACGGAGTCCTTGTGGCCTCAGCTCAATGCAGTTGGCTGGTGAATCGCAGATTTTTGTTTGTAGATGGCTATGAACAGAAATGGAAAGTAGAATTGTCCTCATTAAATCCATTTACCTTTTGTTTTCTTGATATTCCCCTATAATACAGTATGTGGGATGTTGAATGTTAAAGGGATATGTTTTTTTATTATTTTTATAATTGTATAAAAATTAAGCAAATTTCAAAAGTTTTATATGCTTTATTAATGTTTTTCAAAGTTTCTTTCTTATAGATGTGATGCTTTTTTTTTTAACCTTCAGTTGCTTGTCTTTTGGTATTTTGTATTATAAGCTTTTGGTGATCCAGAGGCAAATTTACAACCCACTTATGTTTGCCAGGACATGCAATAAAATTTAAAACTAAATAAAAACTGGTTGAAAAAGTGTGCTGATGTGTGTGTCTGTCTGTTTGCCTGTCTGTCCGTCCCTCCGTCCTTTGACTGGATGTCTTTAAGAGACACTGAAGGAAGCCTTACAAAAGTGCAAACATTAATGTGTTTCCTCAGAGAAGAAATCCTCTTTCTTAGCCAGTCTATGACTAGGAAAGACCAGGAAGCGACTTTCTTTTAGTACATGAGACACTCACAGGTTTAATACTGCATTTGATTGAGGTCAGAAAATTTTCTCAAGAACAAAGCTGCAGATATTCCTGATGTCTAACTTAGTGACCTTCACTTCTGTAATGCTCGGAGGGGACTCTGTGGTAATGGAACGGAGATCACCCAGGCTGCATGTAGAAGTATATTGCAGATCGTGGCCTCTAACTGGGCCATGTGCCCTTTGAATTATGTGATTAATTCGTCAATAAAATACTGTATCAAAAATGCTTTAATGTTTGTATTTTAAAAACTGAGAAAATTTATTCTTTTGTGGGACAACATTCAATGGCAGGAATACAATATAATACATTAGACTTTAAAAAGCTTTTCAGAATAACATAGAATGTACATTTAAGAAATCACTTTGTTTTTCTATTTTTATTCACATGGTAAAGATACATATTCAGATAAGCAAAGCATATCAGCCTGCCAAAACACTGAATTCTTAGTTCTTTAAAACTAGATAGTAGGGCCCGGTGCCTGTGGCTCAAAGGAGTAGGGTGCTGGCCCCATATGCTGGAGGTGGCGGGTTCAAACCCGGCCCGGCCAAATACTGCAAAATAAAAAATAAATAAATAAATAAAATAAAAAACTAGATAGTAGATCCCCATATTTACAATGGTTGATGTAGTGGTGCCAGTGTGAGGGACAGAGAACTATGAAGTTCTAAGGTGATTAATCTTTGATGTACCATCACAGCTCTTTGGACTCAATTTTAGCTTTCTTTTTTGAGCAGCTGTAACCATTTGTATGGATTGATATTTCATGATTTTTATTCTCTCTTAGAGGTCTTCTGAAGTACAAGGAATAAACCTTTTTAACAAATAAAATGAATTTTCTTGCAATTATGATTAGGTTTATTATGCCATTTTGTCTTGCCATATATTTGGGCTTTGTTTTTAATCACTCTAGGAATCCTTTTATCCATATTCTTTAATCAGTGAGCAAAAAGAATAATTTTTTTTTCAAAAGAAGAATAGTAAGATTGCCCAAAACTGTGCTGTCCAATATGACAGCCACTAGCGATATATAACTATTAACCATTTGGATGGGGCTAGCCAAAATTAAAATGTACTGTAAAGGCAAAATACACATTAGATTTCAGAGACATGGAATCCAAATAAAAGTATAAAATAGCTCATGATAATTTTTATAGTGATTACAGGTGGAAAATACTTTGAATCAGAATCAATAAAATTAATTTTACTTGTACTTTGTGCTTACTAGAAAATTTTAAATTTCATAAGTGACTGTCATTGTACTTGTATTGAACAACTGGCCTAGTAAGAGGTTGTAGTAATAAGCCTATAAGAAAAATGAAATGAATTCCTATTATATACTTATCCAGCTTTTTATGCTGTGTTGTTCATTAATGTGGTATCACCTTTCAAATTGATGTAGAATGCTATAGAAGACCATATCATGTACTCAAGATTTTTTATTTTCTCCCCATAGTGACAAAGAGATTAATTTTTTTTTTTAGAGACAAAGTCTCACCCTATCATCCTTGGTAGAGTGCTGTGGCGTCACAGCTCACAGCAACCTCCACCTCCTGGGCTTAGGCAATTCTCTTGCCTCAGCCTCCCAAGTAGCTGGGACTACAGAAGAGATTAAAATTGACAAGGGAAGTCATTTAAAAATTATTAAATGAGTATGTGAATATAAAAACACCATGGTCACTCTAGACTCTTAGGCTAGTAAAATTAATTGTATAAATTAAATCTCAGACCCAGGCATCATATAATGATATCTTACTTAGATTCATTTTTTTCAAACACAGGGCTCAATGGCCAAGTTTTCAAGGTAAAAAGGACATATACTTCCCATTCCAGGTGATTATTCAGTAGAAAGAATTTCCCCACGTAATATTTTGCGATAATATTCTGACCATTTGATTTTTCTAAAAGGATAGGTGATATTTTAGCTAATTCTTGTGCACCAAAATTTATGTATATGCTTAACAACTGGCCAAATGCTAAAACCGTGTTTGTATCAAAGGTATTTGGAAGGAAATACAATGTTGGACCACTAAGTTTAAGAACTTACCCTAAAAAAAGTGCTATATACCTCATTGCTGAATATCACTACGGTCACTCTTGGGAAGTACTCCCCTTGGGAAGCTGTGCACCAGCTCCAAAGCACTGTTTCTAGGATGAGTTTATAAATTTTCTTTTCACATCTTTACAAACAGTATCTCTGACAGCCGTTCCAGAAAAAGAGTATCAAATGAGAGACTTGGCTGCTTGTTAGTCTTAAGTAATGTCCTTTGGAAGACAGTGGAAACAACTCTTCCAATATAAGAATGAAGTTATAGTTTTAAGACAAAATTCATCAGTCTCTAAGCTATCATCTTCACTACATACTGACCTCAAACCATCTGGAAACGTGTCCCTTCTCTAAACAAACTTTTGATAGATACTAAACTATATATATTTTTCTATATATTTTTTTCAGATAAGAGTGGTTCATATTTTAAATTGGTGCTTTTAAAGTCATGTTGGGTGTGTCCTTGAAATTTATGGGATTTGTAAGTCCTCACTCTAATCCTGACTCTGTCTATGGGCCAAGTGGGTGGCAAGTCCTGGCAGGTGAACTTCCCTTCTGTGGTTCTGGTTAGAATTGTAGGCCTGGGACCTTGGAAAATCGTCATTTGTAATTTGAGTGAAAGTTTGACACAGAAACACAGGAGATGAGAAGACATTTTTAGAAGAGAGAGCTTGATATCAGGAACATCTGATAAAAAATTAAAAATTGTGTAAGTGTTTTAACTCCTCTCTGACATTTGCTCTGTAATCTTGGGAATATCACATTGTATATGTGAAGAAAATTGTGGTGACTTTAATGATTTGATATTCCTAAATTTTAGGTACTACCTTCTATAAGTTGATCATTCTGCTGTCCTGTTTTGAAGCTAAGTTTGCACCAACTATAGTCAATATTTCTCCAACTTAGCAATACCTTTCTCATACTATTCTGCCCCATGAATGATTAAAATTTTGAGAAAGCACTTGAATGCAGTCACCATACCTAGGGCACAGAAATTCTGGAATTTTAAGAGACAGTGAAAGAACAAAAAGATCAACCCATTGTCAGATTCTGGGCTGTGAAATGAATAGAGAAAATACTGCTGTGTCATTCCACAGGGCCTCCTGCCAAATGCGTTTCGGAAATGTCAGAAAGTTTGTTCTCAAGTATTCTGGAATTACAGTGGCATCCAGGTACCAGTGCATTTGGTATGTCAGGATGAATGCTGACATTCATAAATATCCAACACAAAGGTCATGAGAGAATATTCTAAGAAATAGTACACTTTAGTGAATCTCACCCTGGCAGAAGAAGGCTGAGGAAAGATTTTCCAAACACTACCTGGTATTCAAAATGGCTCTCAGGACACTTGTGTGTGTATGTGTGTGTGTGTGTGTACAGATAGACAATTTTTCTTTCTACTACTTTGGGGAGAGGGGCATCTCAATGTCTTTTTCCCTTGTCTTTTGCCTTCTCAGAGTTCTTAAGGCATTGTTACCCTAAGTAATTGACTTATAAACAGAACAAACTCTCAGCAAAATGATGTGAAAACTGTGTCTTTGGAACGTTGCATTTCCCTGCCTGTTTCTCTGTTTTCCTCACTGCTGAAGACATTCGCATTGCATTCCCTTTTTTACTTAAACTTTACTCAGATGCTCCTAATGGAGTGGTAATGCCCTTTACGGTGGATAGGGTACCAGGGTTATTTGCATTTTGCCAGAGTTTCGAACCATTCCTTGGAGGGGATCCCTTGTCACTTCGTTCTTATCAACCCCCACTCTCAGGCCTGTGGCACCTTCAAGAGTCACAGGCAGAACAGGAAGTCCCGTCTAAGCCTCATCTCAAAGGCTCAGCAGGAGGCATCCTACCGTCCCACGGCTGGCAGGGGTTCAAGCCGTAGTTGGCAATCCCTGGGAATGCTGTCTCCTCAGCTCTAGCCCTTCTTTTTCCCTTGTCTGATATCTTACTCATAGAACATAGTCTGGCCAGCTCTCCCTCCATCTGTCATCTCCTCAGCTTCATTACTTCTGGTCCTGGGGTACCACACCACCATGGTGCTTATTCTCACAGCCTCTGTAACCCTTTGACCTCCACGCCTCCCACGGTGAAGGAGGCAGGAGTGCCAGTGCCTGCCTCCCTCCATGAGTGGAATGTATTCGTTTCTTCCCGAAGGAAAAGAGCCTCCCTATATCTCTTGGCCGAAAGGCTATTTGCCTTTAAGTCCCACTCCGAGGATTCCGTGGTACTCCTGTGTACCAGGCTATGATGCCCATGCTGAGTGGGCTGGGTGCACTCACGGTGGGGAACGCTGATGAGATGTGAGAACCTGACGGGCAGGCAGAGCTCAGCACAGGGCTGCACAGAGGCTGCACGTGAGCTTTGATGCCACCAGTGTTCTCCTGTGTTTCCCGCCCCAAGGGTTACTCCCCTGCCCTTGACACTCTGATATGTGCAAGACCACCATGTGTGGAAATTGAGACTTGAGAAATACACAGCTCTGTGATCA